TTTAAACCAGAACTATTCAAAGTTAACGTTGATTCATGCTATAAAGACGTTACCAATTATCTCTTCTGACCAACCCTCTTACAACTATCTGACAGAACTTCAGCTCACTCCCAAGACTCAGTTCATATGTCACCTACTTTGGGCAGGATTCAGTATTCCCCCCAGACAATCACAGATGTCCTTTTCCATTCTCTGATAGCTCTGTGACTTCATGTATCTACATTAGAGAACAAGTGCTGTATATGCTTACATACTTGTTTCTACCACGAGCCTGTGAGCTCCCCGATGTCAGGATCCATCTCTTCTGTTTGTAAGCTCTTCATACAGTGCCCAGCATAGAGAAGTGTTTAATAAGTATTACAGAATAAATGGATGCCTCTCTCTACCAATCATCAAGGCTGTGTTAGGCAGTAAATTCTTATGACTCTCCTAATGCATGCAAATATTATCTTCCAATTCTTTCTCATTGAATGTTACTCCCCTAAACCTATCTTTCCTGAGAGGGTTCTTGAAAAAAGCGTGGGAAGGTGTACATAATTTTATTCCCTTACTTTTCACTTAGGTATATTTTCTCTTGATTTTAAGAGAGAAGGGATCATCTCTCTTTTTAAAATATTTTTTATTATGTTAATCACCATACATTACATCATCAGTTTTTGATGTAGTGTGATCATCTCTCTTTTAAGGACTTCTCTTTCTGATCCCTGAATCAGGCTGAGAAGTGTCGCTCAGGCTGGAAGTTATAATGCTAGCTCTAGCCCTCTCTCATGCAGGACACAGTCAGTGAGGTCAGTTCATCTCTCTGAGTCACAAATGCTTCATCTGTTAATGACGATAAGGCGCTCGATGCTTCTACTGCACTGCCAGGTCTAGTTCTGCAGCCTCTGAGTCAAGTGTTTCCAGCGTATCATGTTGCTTCACTGGACTAGGTGTTTCACATCTTGTTAAATGACTGTAAAGTGAAACCCTTCCCCATGAATGTTTAATGAACTTAAGGGAATGCCAGACGCAGACAATTCATTTGTTAAACACTGCAATTTGCAAAGAATTTCAAGTAGTTAACCTAGGCTTCAAGATAAAATAAAGACAGATTTGCCTGATACGGTGTCCCAGCAGGAAATTTTCCCTCCCAAGGATTAGAGTGTTTGTGGATAACCCATCACCCTTTGTGTAGTAGAAACAATGATAGAACTCCTATGCTGGGCATTCAGAATTTCCTACTGGATGCACTATGCAACTTGAGCTTGGACTCTGGATTTCCTCCCCACTCTTGATATTTGGGGAGGATAATTTTCTGTTGCAGGGGGAGGGCTATCCTGTACATTGTGGAATATGTATCAGCACTTCTGCCCTCTGCTCATAGATGTCTCTCAAGCTGTAACACCCAAAGTCTCTCCAGACTTTGCCAAAAGTTCTCTGGGGCAACACTGCCCCCTGTTGAACCGTTGAGTTATAAAGTTGTGAGTTTGCCTTTCTGCTACTCACAGGCAGGCTGGCAGCGATAAAATTTTTTTGAGTCCCATTTCCCTCTTGTGCACATAGGGGGTGTAAATTAAGTCGTTGCTGTTAGGACGAAATGAGGCGATGTATTTATATCATTTAGCATGATTCTGTATATGTACTCAGTCCATGATATTTGCTATTATGATGATCACGATTTCATTTATCATTGTTTGCTTTTAACATTGACGTTGGTATTTCCTCAAAGATCTTGCCAGAAGAAGAAAGAAAAAATAGACCTACAAAGAAAAACTGCTTTACTGAATTTTCTTCAATACCCTTGCTTTTTTCAATATTCATGCAAAAAATTTGAGCCACACATCAGATTACTGCTTGCCCGCAGACCAGTGCTACCTGGCTTCCAGCTGCATAGATGTCCTCTATACTTCTTGCATATCTTCAGCATAAAATGGAAGGAGAGCAAATGCTCTTAAAACTTTCTGTTCCTTTCCAATGTATTATTGATATATATTCTCCATTACTATTTTCTCCCATAATACACTACATGAAAAACTACAGTCCAATTGTTATTTGATTCTTATAACAAAAATAGGAGCAAGAGTATCAGCAGGACATAACTCACCAGACTGAACATTTGACTAGAAATATATGGACTAAGATTGTACTACACAGTCAAATAGTTAAATGTAAATTTAAAAAAATACCATGTTCTCCTATTAAATTAGCAAAAGAAATGATGACAAAGGTATAACAAAGCTAGTAGTGACCCACATTGCTTTCTAGCACTGAAATTGATATGTGCCTGTGGGAGAGTAACTTATTTATTCCAGTCTAGTCTGGTTAAAGGGACCTCCCTTGGGCCCAAGCAGGCGAAGTGTAGGATGTTATGGCCAGCATGCATGTGTCTCCTCGATGCACCTCACTCTCCTTCTCCAGGGTCCTTACAAGCCTTCCTTTCCTATCTATTCTCTGCCTCAACTCCCAGCTCAGCCTAAAACTGATGATCCCTTGAAATGTATTGTCCTAGCTGACCACACCCCAAGTCAGAGGAAAAAAAAATGTCCTATATATATTTTCTTTATCCCAAATGGGAGAAATATAAAGACACTTTCCCACATCTTATCTTGGGCCCTGTGGGAATGATCTAGTTGAGCCCACCCTCTGCTTCCCTGGCTGTGGGTATGGGTGGGCCGGAGAGGGGAGGAGAGGGAAAGAAAAAGAAAAGAAAATCCAATGTGCCCAAAAGTCTTTCAAATGTTGCAACCCCATACACTTTGTAATTTCTTGTTATTCTAATACTAATCATTCCAATCAAATGAGGGGTGGGGATGCATATGAATGAGGAGTTTATTTTCGTATTCCTTTAATAGTAAACAATAGGAAAGAACAGGAATGTCTACAAGAAGAGAAGGATGAGGACATTGTGAAGTGGCCACCTTGTGGACAATTATGCTATCTCTCAAATGAGTTTGTGGAGAGCATAAAGCAGACAGAAAATGCTATTGATCATCTCTTTGGTGAAAATGAAGGATACAAAACTATATGTGTGTTTTGGCTGCAACCCTGTAAAACGCATAGGGACTGACCGAGACTCTTCCCAACCAAACTCTAGACAGGCTCCTCTGAGCCCTCTTTTCTACTGGGCCTTAACTTTGGCCTCTAAGAACTGCAGATTCCCAGCACAAATGACTTCATTCACTCATCCCCACGTTAAAAGATTTGAGTAAACTCTAATATAGTCTCTTTCTCTGTTTTTTAATAGCCTCTAATAGCTCAAGGCTTCACCCCTAGAATGACCCTAACCTTCCTTAAAACACCTGCCTGAAAAACAAAACAAAAACAAAAACTCCAAAGTCTCCAAAAGAATTTACTGTTTGTTCTAGCCAATGCTGGAGGAGGAAAGGCCTCTGACCTGCCTTTCTTGGAGCATTTACTTGAACAAGGCTTATAAATGTAAGCTGCCCTTTGTCATTTTGAGATGAATATGTATCTCCAACAACTCAGGAGTTTCTTTCTCAAGGACCTGAAAGCCAAATATTTGAAATGTAATAAGGAAGGATAGGACCTCTGTCTCCCTGTCTCTGTGGAAGTAACAGAATTCTAAACTCCATTAGTTGTCAGCTGACTAGCACACTGACCAACTCTGATTTTTTACTTCCCTGACTCTGTCAAGCCCCCACTGATTCCTCTCTCTATTCCCTCATTCTCCCTTTAAAACAACCAGTCACCTCTGTACAAGTTGAAGTTGAGTTCAGTTCGTGCTGCAGCTTCTTCCATAATGCAAAAATACATTACTGATTAAAATCTGTCCTTACTATCTTAACTAGTGACTGGCTTTGTTTCTCTTCAGCAGGTCCAGTTGCTAAGGAATTGAAACCCTCCATCACTGCATTTGTGTGGTGAGGTGGCGAGATAATACTCAGAAATCATTAGCAAAACCATCCCTTCTGTTACAGAAAAGAACAGTCCCCACATAACTATGATTACAAGTTTCACAAAACTTTGCTGGGAAGCAATTCTGATTTATGAATTCCACACTAAACATCTAAGTACATTTGTTATGCATAGCAAATGGTTACTTTCTGGGTAATGATTTTTTAGAATCACAAATGATGTATAAATTCCCAGTGATTTATGCATTGGGAGGGGCATGAATATGTCCTGGGTGATTGTCTATTATACTCAAATACTAGGTTTATACCACAGCCTTTGTTCCTTCCTTTTGTGTCTCAGAATCTGGAAGTGCAATCTTATATGGGGGCAAAGAATTGTTACCTTGAGAGGAATATTTCAGTGTGTCTTAGATGATATTTGCTTGTCTTTAATTAGTGTTTTGTAATGTATCTCAGAAATGATTAAAACAACTGTAGAAAGAATGTAGGATTCAAAGAGCTCGTATTTCAAGTTCTGCTATCTATTTAAGGTTTGGTATTAGGACATACTGACTCTGAGAATACAACTCTCCCTTCCCACCTCTCGTACCTTTGACATCTCTCACACCCCTTACCTTGGAGTTCCTTGAATATAGTACACATTCCATGGCTCTTTTTTTTCTGTTTTTCCTAGTCTCTTTGACTAGCTGATGAACATGTCACCCATCCAGCTCCCTTTGGTTTCCTCGCCAATCTATTGGAATGTCAACCATCTCAGCCCACATACCCCCTCTGGTTCTGGTGTCTGTATCTCTTACCACATTTAAGTTCCCATAAGGTAGAGAACATTGTATCCCTGGGCCCCAGCACAATTTCCAACATGTAGTTAGAATGTAATAAGTCATTATGGAACAAACAAATGAAGCTCTTTTTTTCTTCTAGAGATTAATTTATATTGCAGATTGTAATCAAAAGCTGAGATTTAATTTTTCTCTGTTTCAACTTGTACATGTGCACATGCCTATACACCGAACTGCAAGATGATTTAAGGAAAAATCTACAAAGTACTGAAAAAAATATACAAGTCTGATCCCAAGCTCCCCGTCCCCTCTGAACTGGAAGCACTGAGGTGGGTTGGAGGAACAGAGGTATAGACAGGAAACTTACATTTTGCAGCTGGACATGATTTTTCACCAAGTTCTCTGACTTTGCCATTGTGCTGGATGCTTTGAGGCTATAGTTTTTACCATTTTGTGTTTCTTTCAGCTGCTCTTGAATTTGTTTAGCTTGTTTCCTGCAGGTTTAAATAAACAAACACATAAATAGTTACATCAGTTTGTTCTATTCATATTTTGGGGGTTCATTCGTTCCCAACATCTCTATTTGTCATTTATGAAAGCTGGAAAACTCAGTTAACAAAGAACATCCTTCCTTCATTTTCAACCTACCAACCCCATTTGATAAGTTCTAATCTGGAGAGAAGCTGGTTTTATCTATCAACATCCTGGGATTCACACCCAGTGGTGTGCCAAGGGCAGACAGAAGCATAACACATCATCCTGGCCCCCAGAGATGCAAGAGGTCCCTAACCCTTAGTGCTCAGAGGTAAAGAATTAGAAATGCTCTGCAGTAACCAGTGGAAAAATGTGAAGCTTGTACCTAGCAGCCACATATAACATAGTACAAAGTTACATCTCTATTTGTTACATTTACATTTCCAAACATGTGTAGTTTGATCGCATAGCCTGCATATATACCATGAGTATATTTTCTCTTCTACAATTTAGAAATAGCTCATTTATTGTTACCATTAGACCTGAATGTAAAGATTTTTATTTCTACTTTGTAAATAATAATAAAAATATAGTTAAGTCTTGTAAGAACATCTGCTATGTGCCAAGCATCATTTTAAGCGTTTTCCATGTATCAACTCACTTATTCTTCACGATAATTCTGTGTGATGAGGCATTAACCTATACTCATTTAATATATGAGGAAACTGAGGCACAGAGAAGTTAAATAATTTTTCCAGAGTCACATTGCTAGTAAGTGGTGGAGCTGAATTTGAACCCAGCCCATCTGGCTGCATACTCTGTACTCTCAACCACCACTTGGGACTGTCAAACCACTTGCCCATATTTCCACAGCTTCTCAGTGGAAAGACTGAGACTATTCTCGAGTTTCAGACTCTGAGTAAAGTACTTTTGCCTGCATATGTGGGTGACTGTTGCTTAAGTCATACAGTGGCTACACCAGAAGGATGCAACAAACTACTCGCTTATTAGCTGCTCTCTTCCAAGGGCTTTACAGTAATTATATATCAGCAGAAGACTCAGTGCCCGGGGCGCCTGGGTGGCTCAGTTGGTTAAGCGACTGCCTTCGGCTCATGTCATGATCCTGGAGTCCCGGGATCGAGTCCCGCATCGGGCTCCCTGCTCAGCGGGGAGTCTGCTTCTCCCTCTGACCCTCCTCCCTCTCATGCTCTCTGTCTCTCATTCTCTCTCTCACAAATTAAAAAAAAAAAAAAAAAACTAAAAAAAAAAAAAAAGAAGACTCAGTGCCCATAAACACACACACACACACACACACACACACATTGCAGAATCATCCTGCCCACCCCGAACTTTTAACTCTTCCTAAGATCCCTGTCAAAGATAGAGCCTTCAGTGGAATATGTGCACGGTTTCCTGCAGAGAACTTTTCCTGAGAATGGACTTGGGTATCAGAGGGACTGGGATTTGAATCCCAGCACTGCCACCCACCACTTCTATTTTGATTTCCTAAATTGAAATGACTGTTTTCCTAAACTTCTCTGAGGCTCAGTTTCCTCATCTGTGCATGGTGTTGTAAAAGCTAACTGGGTACTGTAGAAACCGAATATGAGAACACCTGTAAGGTGTTGATCTGCTCCCCTTCTCATCATTTAGCAAGCTTAGTTGTATGGACAGATCCTACAGAGAAATTAGAACATTGGCTCAAAGATAAAAGAAAGGATGGTATTAATTGCATCTCTCACAAGCAAGTGACAGTGTTTGCTACCAGATTTGGAAGTTCTGAGCATCATTAACTCTTTTGAATTTATAATAGCAGTGATGTAGCTCTGTTTGTTTAAAAATTTTTTATCTTTTCAATTGTTTTGGGGGGCTTTTATCTCCAGTACCTTTAGTTGCTTTAATCCAGTTGTAATAATATATCTATTTCCTAAGAGCTAACCTGTAGCCTATTGTTAAAAATAAATCTATCATATCAGCATCTTATGAAGCACATTATAGCCACAAAATCCCATCAGGGATTCATTGATGAAGGAAACAGGAGATCAGGAGGTTCTGCCCAAGTAAATTATCATGAGGCAGTAAAGGGGGTTTGGCACAGAGTGAAGACCCAGTTACTCTCTGAAGGATTAAATAGTAGAAACATTAACTATCTGTTCAGTAATTCTGTAATTCAGTGTCCGGGAAATGCCGACTTCTGAAAGAATTTTCCTCATAAAAACGCGTGACTACAGTTTCCTAAGTCCTTATATAATTTGCTTTGCTTTACTGGCTTCTCACTGAAGTCCCAACTCACTAATATTCCAGGATAAACAGGCTTTCCTTTCTGAACCAGAAAGGTATCATCCCTACCCTGTCCCAAACACACATATTTTTGCTCTTTCCTCCCTCACCCAGCAAATGGGAACCAGGACAGGAGAGGTGTCTGATTAAAATACCATTAGCTCTCTCACAGGAGTCGATGCTCTGGGAAAGACAAGATACGGGCATTGTACACTAGAACCCTACTAGCCTAACAATGTCAGTGTTAACATTTTATAGTTCATTGAGATTTAAGTTTCTCTGGTCCAGTTCATCAGAAAGAAATGGCATGTATGGGCGCCTGGGTGGCTCAGTTGGTTAAGCATCTGCCTTCAGCTCAGGTCATGATCCCAGGGTTCTGGGATCGAGTCCCGCATCAGGCTCCCTGCTCTGCGGGGAGCCTGCTTCTCCCTCTCCCACTCCCCCTGCTTGTGTTCCCTCTCTCGCTGTGTCTCTCTCTGTCAAATAAATAAATAAAATCTTTAAAAAAAAAAAAAGAAAGAAATGGCATGTAAGTTGTGGAATATCAGGCATCACAAGTCCACTGGTTGGCATTACTGGTAATGTTGCGGGATGGGTTCCTGGGGAAGCAGGCACTGAGAGGGAGACAGCATGCAGGATTTTTATTAAGGGAGGCTCTTTGGATCATATTTGTTTTAGCAACTGGAGGGCTAAGATCTTCACTGCTCAAGAGAATCAAAGCTGCATATCAGAGCACTCACTGCCTGTCTTTAACAGGCTTTCCTTGGGCTAAGATCTTTGACTTCCGAGAGTGATACCTATAGTCAGGGCTGGTTTTTACTGGGAGCACCATTTTTCCTTTTTCCTTCTGTTTTCCCCAGTCGTGATCATTATTTGTCCTAGCTTCTGCCTCCTGGAACATCTCCTCTCCTATCCCAATTCCGTTTTTTAGAGTTGAATTGTGTCTTGCACTTTCCAAGTCTACTAAGGACTCCTACAGGCAGCCTCACACTTCTTACCCATATGAGTTGAAAGTAAAAAGAAACCTAGAAGAATTTAGAGTTGCCACGTGAGCCCCATCAGCCAGATCTGAATAGCTCAACTAATAGTTCCATTAACCACTTATGGGAATATATGGGCTTATTGGAAGTGATGAGAAGATGATTTCTTTCATTGTGTCCTTTAGAGTTGTGGAGGTTCAGTTAACTCAGAAAATCCTCTAAATCCAAGAAGGTGTTGATCACCTCTACCTCATCATGTTATCGACCTTCAAACTTTCATCTAACAATTTGCTATAATATTCCATGTGGTGAAGAAATGCCATACCAAGGGTCACAAGACAATGGACAGAGGACCAGAGTGGTAGATCTGAGGAATTATTGGAACTAAAATATAAATGATCCAAGGGAATATGAGCTTTTGGGTAACTCCTGACTTTCTCTGGCTAGAAACTGTATATCCCAGTATACAGAACGCTGGTTTGAGTGCATTTATTTAAAAACCAATGATGGAGAGTTCCTAGAACCCTAGAAGACTTGGCACTTCCAAGATGAAGTCAAACAAATGATACACATATTAACAACCTTATGGTATGTGTGAAAGTAAGGACAGATCAAGGTAGAGTCTGCCTATGCTATTATCCCTGAGATCTGGGGATGGGAATTAGAATTCCAGGAACGAGTGGAAAGACACATGTGCCAGTGTGATATAAAAATTTACACTGCTTTCAGCTATATAGATTAGATGCTTGGTGTGAGGTGTAGCACTCCTCTCCGGCAAAGAAAAATAAAGGAAGACCCTGCCTGGAAACTGTGCTAGAAGGAAATACACTCTAGGTCTCTAATGAGAAATGTAATTCCACTCGGAATAGCCTTCAATTTTTAGTATTACTTTATTATTCTCACATTTTCTTATTTATTTAATTTTTAATAAAAATGTGTCCCAGCTGGACAGGCAGAAAGACAACATCCTGATTAGTGTTCCTCCCCTGGCTCAGTTCTGGAAGTCCCCCAGAATGAATGATGTTGCACAGTGTTTACATTAAACCCCCACACCTCACTAAGGTGACGTTAGTATGAGGGGAAACTGGGTCTGGGTTATGTGGGATCTAGCTGTACTATTTTCACAGTAATTCTGAAAATCTAAACCTATGCTGAAATAGTTCATTAAAAAATAATAGCCCCAGGAGGAGGTGTTCGTCTCAGAGCCCACGTGCTGCCTGGAGAGGGAGAGATTGACAGCCCTGAAGATGGAGGTCCTCGAGTCATCCAGCTGCTCTCCGTTCTTGTGATTGTCATAATCAGTCTTTCCCTTACATGTGGTACAACTACAAATTATACTCTAAAAATAAGTGATTAACCACCACTTGATGGTAATTTGCTTATTGTTAAATACACAACTTCTTTCCTGTACACAGCACTTGCAGGGAGACCCTTTGAACGCCCTGTGGCGTGTGATTACCCCTCTCGTGCTCCGGTGTATGCTCTTCACTCTGTATGCTCTTCACTCTGTAGTTACCCAGCCTCTCAGTTGCAGTGTGGAAAACCGTAGGCGTTAACCATAGCAAGCCTTCATTATTTACTCTTTGGAACACCATGCTATGCTCTATAGAATGCTATTCCATTAATCCCTGACAAATTCTATAAGGTAAGTATTATTTTCGGCCATATTTTACCAAAAAGGAAACCGAGGCTGAAGGACTGGATGCAATTTGCCTAATAATACACAAAAAGCAAGTGGCACCCCAGTGATTTGAATGCAGGTGTTGAGTGAGGCATGTAAAATCCTGACCATATATCACGTAAGCTCCCTAGAGGACGCCAAGCATTATGGGCGGCACCAGGGCATGATAATCCTGATTATTCACCCTAAATAGTTTCACCTTCCACCATCTAGCAGGAGGACCGTGGGAGCCAATGTGGTAGAGTGGTTTGGAGCATGCAATTTCAACTAGGACTGGGGAAATTCAAAGACCCCATCTGTGTGGCTTTGACAAATTAATATTTTAAAATTAACTTCTGTTATGATTTGAAAAGTGCAGCAATAATGAACAATTCCAATTGTTGTGAGGAATGGGGGATAAGCCCAGTGTCCCTGACAAAGGGTTCTCAAAAATGAACACTAATAACTGTCACAGCCAAGAGTTGCCTAGGAGACGTGACAATTAAATATGATGCGGTATCCTAGATGGGGGCCTGGAACAAAGTGCATTAGGTAAAAGCTAAGGATATCTGGAAGTATGAACTTCAGTCTGAATATTATTTCATTCATTCATTGTGACAAATGCAACATACTAATATAAGACATTAGTATTAGGGGAAACTGGGTCTGGGTTATGTGGGATCTGTACTATTTTCACAGTAATTCTGAAAATCTAAACCTATTCTGAAATAGTTCATTAAAAAATAATAGTTACTAATTATGAATTCATACCCGAGTTTCCATTATTTTTTAAAATCATAATTGCTGTTCTTTTTAAAGATCAACATATACAACATGCAGACAGGTGTCATAAACTATATCTGGAAATGGACCCATTTTTAGAAGAGCAAATGTGTAGACAAATATAGGTCCAATGAAAAGCAATTACACATTGGCTTGCATTTCAGACAAGCTGTAGGAATAGAATCTGCGCCAACTTCTTAAGGCTTGCGTGACTTAAATAAAATTTCCATAAATAAAACACCTTTATCAAAGTCCATTTGGAATAAATATATTTGTATGTATATATAGGTATGTATATATTTTATTATACTTTATTAGTCAAAGTTAGCACCTTTATCATAGCAAAAGTTTTGGTTTCTTTTTTTTTAAGTTTATGTATTTATTTACTTAAGTAATCTCTACACCCAATGTTGGGCTCGAACTCACAACCCTAAGACAGGAGCCACATGCTCTTCTGACTGAGCAGCCAGGTACCACAGAAGTTTTGATTTCTTAGCAGGGTAAGTATGGGGGATATTTGAGATGTGCTTACCAATTGATGAAACAAAGTAGATCTTATAGTATTCATATTTCATAATTGGCTGAAACCTTTATGGGTATCAGGTAAAAATACTATGAAAGGAAAAGTGTGGGTTTTTTTTTTTTTCCAAAAAAGTCTAGTATTTGTTGACAATACTTAGGTCTACACCAGTGACCTCTCTATTCAGAAGTGTTAACCCCTTAGTGATAGGCAGATACTGAGCCGTTACTTTTGGCAGGTAATCAGAAACTGCAAAGAACATGGAGTGTTCATGATCACAGAGAGGAATGATCACTATGTGCACCAAAGAGAAACCACACACACACACACATGCCACACACGCACGCACGCACGTGCGCGTGCGCACATGCTGCATATACTCCCCACAGTCTATAAGAGATTCTAAGTCATTTGTAGATGTTTGATGGACCCATTTGCACAAGATCCCTCTGCCTGGAGCAGAGATTGTGAAGTTAAAGAAAGACAAAGTGCTTCCTCTGAGAAGTAACCTTTTAACACTTGAGAGAGATGGTCTTACTTGCTTTTGAAGTAGAATGCTGCACAGAACATGCCCACGATGACAATTCCAAAGATGATACACGAAATTGACAGCACCTGCCTTTGATACACTTCTTCACTCTCTGTGAATTTGAAAAAAAGAATTAGAATGGATGTTAGCAGGGCACAATTTCTATCCTTGGACTTCTGAGTTGGTAGGAGCTTTTCAAAGCAAACTTTTTTCCCCTGTCATGAATAGGAAAACACGAGGAAGTTATAATGATTCAATTTCTTTGCAATCATCTCCAGGCTGGCTGGTTGTTATTTTTTGTATATGCATGGTTAAAACACACTTATACACATATAGCACAATGATGAATCTTATCATCAAAAGGCATTCCATAAATTTAGCACATACTGGGACATATGTTTTTGAAATTATGGGGCCCCGAATAACCTCCCAGAGAAAGAAATATGTGTCCGCCAGAATTTCCTGTGCCAGTGATGACTTCCAATTTATTTTATGTGATACTGATGCCACTGTATTTTCTGATTTGGTCCTCGGCTGTCTGTCTCCCATTCATCCATCCACTATTATGACTGACATCACTAATGAAAGAGAACCTCAATATGTATGTGAATATTTATTCACCCATTCTTGACTACTTCAGTACCAATGATCTGGCACAGTAATCTCAACCTCCATTACCAAGGTCATATCTTATAGCTTCTTATCACAAAAAAATAAGAATTCAAAAATAAGCATGTCACTTTTTAGCCATTACCATTTACACTCCCAGCTCATTTCTGAAGTGTGTCTACTGAAGCAGTTCTTCCAGCTCATCAAGACCTTTTTATCTATAGGTCTCAGAACTTTCTATCTGTTAATTATTCTCCCCTTGTCTTCATTTTCTTTCTTTCTTTACACAGAGAGACTATGATCCATGATTACACTCATTCACTCTCTTGCAAATACCCTCAACTACTGATCTCTTTCTCTTCCCCTTTAACCCATTTGGCAGAATAACTGCATACAAATCCAAGAAGCTGCCTTTTTCATACCTCTACCTTGAGCAGCTCAGAATTGGGAGAGAAGATTATACAATCAGGAAGATGGGCAGCAATAAAAGTTGACAATGGCATTACTTAAGTGACATCTAATAGTGACTAATGACCTCATCAGCCTGCTTCTCCATTTTTCTAATGGTTACCCATACCTCCTCCATATTACTCAAACATCTGACTTACTCTCCCTCACTTTCAGATCTCCCTATATATGTTATAAAGAAAAGGAAATCTGAATAGTATAAATCATCTCTACTTATAACACAAAATACACAAAATTAACTGCATTTGTATCTATTATTTTGTTTCTCTCTTAACATAGTGCAGTAGTTCTCAAACTTTACAGTGCATTGGAGTCACCTTGAGAACTACTGAAGAACCAATTGCCACCTACTTTCTCTCCTAGAGTTACTGATTTAGCAGGTATGAAGTGGAGACAGAATATTTGCATTTTTTTTAAAGTTCCAAGGTTTCCAAGGTGATTCTGATGTTGCTGGTCTGTGAAATATACTTTGAGAACCACTGAATAGAACAAATAAACAAGAACAAATAAAAAGATACTCAACATCATTAGCCATTGTAGAGTTGAAAATTAAACTATAATGAGACACATGGCATCGCTACTAGAATCACTAATATTAAAGGCTGACCATACCAAGGGTATGAACAATTTGTATTCTCATGTACTTCTGGTAGAAATGAAAAATGGTATAACCACTTAAAAAATAGTTTCATAGAAAGTTAAGCACATACCTATCTTATGACATAGCCATTCCATTCCTAATGGACTATGCAAGCATATGTTCATTATGTACATAAATATTCATAGCAGCTTCACTTGCAATAGCAAAAAAACCAAAAAACAAAAAACCTGGAACAATCCAAAAGCCAATTAGCAGGTAAATGAATAAACAAACTGTGGTATAGCCATACAATGGAATCTCACTTAGCAATAAAAAGGAATGAATTAGTGATATAAGCAAATCTACACATGAATCTCAGAATAACTAGGTTGAGTGCAGTAAGTCAGACAAGAAAAAGTATCTGTTGTGTTATTCCAGTTATATAAAATCCTGGAAAATGGAGGCATGCCTGAGTGGCTCAGATCATGATCCCAGGGTCCTGGGATTGAGTCCCGAGTCAGGCTTCATGCTCAGTGGGGAGCCTGATTCTCCCTTTCCTCCCCACTCATGCTCTCTCTCACTATCTCTGTTGCTATCTCTGTCTCTCTCTCAAATAAGTAAATAAAATCTTAAAAAAAAAAATCCTGGAAAATGGAAACTAATCCATAGTAGCAGAAAGCATGAGTGGATAGCTGGGGTCAGGAGTAGGGAGGAATAGAGGAAAGAGACCACAAAGTGACATGAGGAGACAACTGGAGAGTCATAGATATGCTCACTGTCTCAAATGTGATGATGTTCTCATGATGAATACTTATGTCAAAATGTATCAAATGATAAGTTTCATATAAGCGCTTTATTTTACATAGCAAATACAGTAGCAAGTACAGTAGCAAAATATTAATCCTGGGGGACAAAAGAATACAGGGAATATAGAAGTATAGACATAATATAAAAAAATACATGCTTGACACAACATTGTCCACCCATACTAACCAGTGTCTTTTTCTTCCACCATGTCTAACATTCAACTCTTCAGAGTCTCAATACATACTCCTCTCTTTCTCTCTCCTGAATATTATTCTTGTATTTGTCCTTTAAATGTCTACTCACCTTTTTGGTCTCAAATTAAGTGTCGTTACCTCAAAAAAAATCTTGCACTGCACTATAAACTTCATTGGTGCAAGGGGCCGTGTTTTTGTTGATCTATTTGTTTGATTTGCTATTTCCCCAACACCTAGTGCAACGCTTCTTACATAGTTGACACTGTAAGACTTATTGCCTAGGGAATAAGTGGATATTTCTGCCTTTAGAGGGATTTTCTGCTTTAAGTTGTGTACGATACATCAAGTCTCACCTGGGGATGTTCTTCAGGTTTATTACTTCTCTTTTATCCATACTATGTCCTCCCTGGCTTCCTGCAAATCCTCCTCTCCTGAGTGACCACCTGCAAATGACCCTACCCATTCCTGAGATCTAGACCTGGCTCCTCTCGGTGGGGCTTTCCCATCCAAACCTGGCCTCCTCACTGTGTGACGCTGTACTCTCAAAGTCCTTTTCAGAGGGCAAAGTGTCATAAGGAAAAATGGTGAAGCCATGGGTTTCCAGGCCTCAGTGGGTATTGTAGCATGATCTACTGACAGGTAGATACTCATGGTTCATTTTCTTTTCCATACCATCTATTTGCCAGCCCCTGTTTTTTTGGGTGATTTTCAGGTTGCCTGGTCAGGCTCCAGGAAGACACCCTGTGTGTTGGATTTGAGTATTGTTCTCAACACTCTCCCTCCCTGCACTGGTAAACTGCCTGGTTTTTCATTCTGGCCTAGCTTCACTCAGTGTTGATGCCAATTTGTAGCCAGAAAACTAGGCTGAAGGCTGGTTCATGGACATAGAATTCCCCATACCATGACTTTCTGCGATTCTTTCAATATGACCCAGAAGCTTCCAGAGCCAGCTGAAATGAGTCCATGACTTGTGGTGTTCCTCTAACAGCAAAGTCAATTGCAGTAATTCATCTTTAATTAGGCAAATAGATATCAGACACAACAGACTTGGATGAAAACCTATATGCACAGAGTCTGATTTCTAGAACTTATTTTCTTTTTTCTTATCACTATCCCTTCTTCACTCCCATCTTAGGCTCTATTTCCATTTTACTCAGACTAAAGTATCAGAAAACAGAATTTAAGCCTAATTTCTGAAGAAATGGAGAGGGGCAATCATGTGGCTCTGGCAAGCCTTAGTTGATATTTTTAATGTGGCAAAATTCAAATTAAAGGAATAAAAAATGTGTCACTTTGACCTTGTTTGGGCATATTGCCATCTTAAAGAATGTCACCTTTTCCATTCCCACATTTTTAAGCCCACTCAATTTTCCAATCGAACTTGGAAACAAGTAGTTGTACCAACCATAGAGAATTTCATCTCACTTAGTTTTTGTCAGTTGATGACTATAATGGAATAGGTGTGACTTGAATATGATAATCTACCTCACCCTGCCTCTGCCAATAAAAAGAATTATGAAAATGATGGATAATAATACCCATTAAAACAACAAAAAAAATAAGACTATCTACTAAACTGAATGATTTCCACATAAAATCTAGGTACTGTTTTTGTTCTTATTTGAAGCTAGTCAAATATAGCCTGGGGAAATGCACAAAATCAATTCTGAGTTTAAATCAAGAGTGAAATTAAAACTCTAAAGACTGTGAGTGAATTTATAGACCCAGGTGTAGTTCGGTGATAGCACTCAATGCCTTTGATTCATAGACTGTTAACACAAGAGCTAGCATGAGTGAGGTGCAAGAAACAAAGGGTTGGGAGCCTGGCAATTTTGGATTTGAGTTTAATTTTAGCCACTTTCAAAATGAGTAACCACAGATATATTACTTTACCTTTATAAACTTTAATTTCCTATCTGAATAAAGGCAGTGTTATGAAATACTGAGTGTAATAAATGTTATAATAAGGAACTAGACAATGCTACAAAAGCGTATTTTATGGAAAACTGACCTAGTCATAGAAGCCAGAGATCAGAGATCTCCAATATAATATTAGAAGCCAGGTAAGAGTAAAGGGGATGGGGAGAGTGGTCCAGGAAAAGGAAACAGCTTGTGCATAGGCCCTGGGGTAGGAGATAAAATGGCATGTTCAGGAATCTGGAAGTTATCTACTACCACAGGGCCTTTGTACAAGTCATTTTCCTTAGCAGTTGAGCAGAACAACACAGAGGCAACGTGCACACAGTGTACAATCAACAAGTCACCACAACAGCAGAAAGGTGCTGAAGGATTTGAAAGGAGAAGAATGTGATGTGATAATATTTACATTCATTTTATATGCAATATGCAGGAAAGATTAGAAGGAATAAAATAAATGCAGAATCCTGTTAGGAGGATATTAAATCAGCTCAGGTAAGATATGATGGATGTTTGTACGAGAGTAGTAACAACCAT